TGTTGAAAAGCTTTAATCTGTCATCGGGTCTGCCGTGGTCATATGTGAGTAAAAAAGCTGTATGTTGTATAAATGTTAACTTAATCAAAAGTTATAGTTGTCACAAGAAGGGATTAATTCTTAACATTTCTACTTCTGATAATTTATGAATGAAAGTTTAGTGGGAGAGAGTCACCCAAATGCTGGTCATGAGGGAAGGTCCATACACATTGCAGTTCTCCTTCTTTGTTAGTTTTGGATCTAGAATAAAATTTAGATCAGGGAGTATCTCCTGAGTATCTTCTGATCTGGTAAAGATGACCGCTCCGCTCAGACTATGCACCTTTTTAGTTGTTTACTTATTTGTTGCTTTGTTATACATTCCAAAATATTCTAGTTTTATAGTTTACAACAATACATCACTTCTCAATATTGGTAACAAGTTTGCACTTTTACACCCTGTTCTGGCCGACTGAGATAATACGCGGCGCGAACAACAACAATGGACAGGAAGCTCACCCGAGGCGAAGGACAAAGAAGCGCCGAGGTAAACGTGCGGGCATTCGGAACAGACTGAGGCAACAGGCGCACTGTGCACCACTGCCCAGCATCCTGCTAGCTAACGTATAATTGTTGGAGAACAATCTAGACGATCTGAGGGCAACCTTTCAAAGAGACATGGGGGACTGCTTCACTAAGACATGAATGTGTGGGCCGTAACTGCATCGGAGTCAATCTCTGTGCTCCGTGTAGACAGAACAGCAGAGTCGAACAAAGCCAAAGGTGGAGGAGTGTGTCTCATTGTAAACCGAAAGTGGTGCGACGCCAGGAACATCTCTACTCTCTCGAGCAGCTGCTCGCCACATCTGGAATACCTGAGAATTAAGTATTGCCTTTTTTACCTGCCCTGCGAGTTCACCTCGGTAAGCGCCACAGTCGTCTACATACCACCCCAAGCGGACACAGGTATGGCTCTATTTGAACCACATGATGTGCTGAGTGTGTTTCAATACAAGGACCCAGCCTCAGCCTCCATTGTAGTTTGCTTTAATAAAGCAAACCTTGCACAAGTCTCCAAAAGTTGATTCTGTTCATCTGGACGTAGCGTTTTGTGAGAGAAACGTTCCGTCACTCATCCAAGTGACTTCTTCAGTCTCAGCTGACTGCAGGTTTCCCCAAATCTTATAAACAGTACTCATCATCAGAAAGGTTGCAGACCCGTGCAATAGATCCACACTCTCCAGCTCCTATGCTTCTGGATTTCCTGACCCCCATGGACCCAAAGAAGTATGTGGGTGATGGG